CACCGGCGCCAGCACCCCCACCCCGACCCCGGCCCCCGAACGACTCCCCCCAACACCGGTCCCACAGCACCAATCCGAAGAAGAAGAAAGCCACACAACACAGCTAAGCGCAAATCCCGAGCCCCACTCCAAGCCCCGATCCCCCCGCCCACACACCCCCTCCCACACAAAAAACAAACAAAAACAAAAACAAAAAAATTATAATATTCTCCCCCTCACCGGAGAAGAATGGCCGCAAACAAGCCAGTGCCCAACACCCACCGCCACACCACGAGGACCCCTCCACCCAGATGCTCCTCCCCAGAAAAGTCAACATGCCTGCCCTCCCAGGAGACAGGCAAGCCCGCCGAACAGGAATCCCCCCGGCAGCGCACCGCCGGCATGCGGGGGCCCGAGCAGCCCCAACAGAAACAACACCGGAAGGCCGACAAGGACGAACCGACGGCACCAACCAAGCCCCCAGGCGGACTCCCCCACCCAAAAACACAACGAAACCACCCCGCCCCCACCGACCACAGCAAACACAGCCGCAAGGCAAAGCAAAGGACAGAGCAGCCCCACCCGGCGCACGCCAGAGAGCCAGAGCAGCAAGGCCGCCCCAGCCGCCAGAAGCCGGCACAAGCAGCAAAAAGAAAGCAGCAGACGCGACCCCACCACCCCCGGCGCGCCCGGCGCGAAAGCAGCACGACCCACCCCGCTCCGGCCCCGCACCGCCAACAGGCCCACAGCACATTTGTTTTCAACCCATCCCCTTCTTCATTTGTGTTTACATTTGTAACATTACAAAGTAAATTAAAGACTTATGCAAAGTTTCTTGGAAAATCCTGAACTAGTACTAACTCGTATAATCTATAAACCACATAAATTCTTACTATTATCTAGACAGATTATTACTTTATTAATAGATAATGTAACTTTCAGATGGAAGGATGTGTTATAATGACTAGTGAAAGGATCTAAAACGCAGCATAGTTGTTAAGGACAAACACTAAAAATCGTATTTTTAGAGAAGCACCAATTGGCCAGTTAACAAATCGGACTATATTTTTATGTTTATTAAATGCATCAGAAAAAAAAGCATTCACATTGACTGCAAACACTGAACAAATCCTGTGATCAAGTTAACAGTCAGCAAAGCGAAGGATGAGTTTTGAGAAATACGAACGGAGTGATTTAGACAAATAAAGCAAGTTAAACTTCTAAAAGCACAGTGTAAGCAAGAAGAGAGCAAAGCAAAATTTTACTTAAGTTCAAGAATTGTAACTTTTCTGTCAATTTTATTTTGTTTACCAGTAAGGGATTGGATCCAGATGAAGGACTGCATTGAAGACAAAGGTTTTTTCTTTCCATAACTCAACGACGCTGATCTGTCCCTGGCACCACTGGAAGTGACCCTCATCCCAACGTATCTCCTGGACTGGGTGATTGGACTCCTCGAACTGGGGGCGTCTCTCCGTATTTGGAGGATCTGCTAGATGCAGGGACGCCTGCATTTGGCTTTTCAAATGACGTAAACTCAGTAAAAGTACACTCTGCCAGTTTGAGCTGAACAGACAGGAGGAACCAGAAAGAGCCTCATATTTGACTGGATGAAAAAAGGTGGGTAAAATTTTACCGCCTTGTCTGCAAATACCTTTAGCGAAAAAAGCTAAATGTCATCTAGCCAACAGCAGGCGAATGACGCAAGGTTTTTACATTGTTTGCAGTCATTTTGAAAGCACATTAAGATTTCCAACCATTATCTGTCTATCAATATATCCCAACAAGTTCTTTGATGCACTTTTTAAATGCAACAAATGAAAATCTGCAAAAACACAAAAATTGGTACTGATCTGAAAAAGAACTGATTGGTGCAACCAAGACAAACATGTTTATTTTCTTGAAAACAGATTTTTAAAGCTTTACTGTAATAAAAAAAAAAAAAACGCTATAGCTTACATTGCTCAGAAATATTTTTTAAAAAGGTAATACTGGCATGCAAATTTGTTTCAATAATAATAGTGCAAAGATTAGCTTTAGGGGAGAAGAAGGTGGAGGAGTTAATATTTGTAAGGTGGTATTAGGTCAGATTATATATTTGGCACACAGAGCACGAGAAAGCCCACACCCTTAAAGGAACAAAAACAACAACAAACAAAACACATTGCAAGGCAGGATGATCTAATTAGAACCAAACTACAACCTACCAATCTAAAAACCAATGCAAAGCCCAGCTGGAATAACTGGACAGAAATGATTGGTGAGAACTCCTAGAAACAGCAAAAACTGAGCTGCATCTTCACAGCAGATCCCGAGGAGTTCATGTATGCAAAAAGCATGTATGGATGTGTAAATGTCCAAGCTAAATGGTACCCAAGAGCAAACACCTGCTTGTGTAGTGAACTCAAATGAGTTATAATAGAACCAGATAAGAGTAATCAGAAAGATGTGCAGGATCATGGTAAATATTTTACAATAAATCCATGAGAGAAAAAGCGCTTATACATAATGCTTCCCTTACCATACTGGCTGTAAGAAAAATCAGGCTGCCCTGTTGGAGCCTTGCTCAAGTCCTGAGTTGGTGTGGTGGCGGGGGCAAAGCCCAGCGTGGCTGCTCCTGGAGTAGTGGGTGGAGGGGGGACTTGTGGAGCATACTGATCTCCATGGGGTGTGCCAAAACTATAACCTGTAGGAGACCAATCAGATAACTGTGATGAGCTCCTTCTAAACATTATTTTCTAAAACTGTTCGCTTCTGTTTTGAAATACCCATGTAAACAAAAGCAAGAGTCAAGTGACAAAAAACTGGAATTAAACCAGATATAGACCAAAATAATTCTCCTTTGTCTCTGAAGTTTTATTTTATGAAATGTTTTCTAAGGATTTTAACTTTAAGAAATAATGGCTGCAAAGGCCATCTTAGTCCTCTCAAACATCAGCACTTTTACTATGCTTTGTTCCATCTTTTAAACAATATTTGATAAACTATTAACAGTGTACGTTGTTAACAGTATTAAGTTGAAAATGATTCAATACATCTATGGTTATTCCAGCACCTTTCTTTTCACCCCAAAGTGTCATGCTTTCCCCTGATAAGATGAAGGTTACTCCCTTACAGCAGCAAAACAGCAACAGCCATGTAAAAAAAAAAAAAAGAGCCCCCTGGTTTCAAAAGTAAAATTATCTGGTCTTCACCAGGTTCTACAATTATTTAAATTTAAACTATAAAAGCAAAAAAACATCACACATTTAAAACAAAGCTGAACAGGGAAACCACTTTGTTAAAACATCCCATAATTTAAAAGTCTGCAAAGGTGCATTAGGCAGCCAAACTCTGAAGTAGTCAATTTCTTTATCAGTGAACACATTGGAATTTTAACCGAAACCTTCTGTTCATGTGTTGTCAGCATTCGCTTCACAGTTTGACTGGACCATTTTTACAAAGTTTTGTTTGAAGCTTGATTTTTCTTTACGCATTTGGCAGACCGTTTTTTTTTTGTTTTTGTTTTTTTCAAAATGAGCAACAAATGATATAGGAATTTAGTTATATCAAACTATATATAACCTCATAAGAGGGAAATGCTCATGTTGATGGTCAGCTGATTGGCAGCTGTGCTAAATCAGGCTATGGTACCAAGTTTTCTATCACCCTTAACTAGAGGTCCTCATTTTTGACTAAAAGATTAACTTGGAGGGTTAAAAAGACTATAATGACTATATGATTTCCAGGGCCTACTGCAGCAAGACAGCCCCACATCATTACCCCTTCAACACCATGCTTTACAGCTGGCATGAGACATTATTAATGGTATGTTAAAAGAGTAAATTTTATTAGGTCACTGCTTTCCCATTTAAATCAAATAGAGACAGCAAGGTGGGTTTTTCCATCGAGGTTTTACATTTTTGATTTTGTTTTTGCTGATAAAAACCGATTGAGTAAAATGTTTTTGAACACCCTAGGTTAGACTTTCCCAGTAACCTGGCAAACTCAGATCATTCTTATTACATGCTAGATACATTAAAACCTACAACTGAAAGAGGGTACACTTTTTCAATGAATGTAAAATAACAAATCTGAGCAATCTGCAGGCTTACATACCTAGAATAAAACAACATGAGCAAAAAAATAAACTAAAACTAATCAAAACCATCCGAAATAGTGAAATGGCAGGACTGACCAAACTGAGGTGCTGTGCTATAGCCCTGCTGAGGGTAGCCCTGAGGTGCTGCGAAGCTGCCAGCCGGGGTGGTGACCAGGAATGCATTAAAGGGTGACGGAGGCTGCGTGGGGGTTCCCCGGCTTGCTGAGAGCGAAGGTACGTACCCACCTGCTCAAACAAAGGGAACATTTATTTATACTTTCATGAAAACAAGGAGCTATACATTACAGGGATTAATGAAGGAAAAACAAACAGAAAAATATGATTAGTTCCACAGCAATCCATATTACTTGCTTTTATTTTATATTTTACTGTTTCAAAGAGCTATAGTAACTTGGATTTTATTCTGGTGCACAACAGGTGGGTAGTAACTAGTTACATGTACTAGTCACATTTCCTTGAGTAAAATTTGGGGGAAAAATACTTTCAGGAGTTTTACAGTTGTATCCTTCTTAAACATTCTTATAAAGTATTTACTTTCACTTCTACTTCAATAAACTTCTGGCTCTGTCAACTAAGTAACAGATACTGTCAGTCAAATTTCTTAACCTAGACCTAACATGCGTACAATTCTCACTTTAAGAATTGGTTTCATAAGTTTTATGTTAATGGATTTGGGAAGGTGATTCTTCTGCATGAACTTGTCATTTTTTTTTTTGATTTGTAGTCTTTAAATGTGTTCTAGTCTTAAGTACCAGAACCTGCATATAATGTTTGTCTGACAGCTGGGTCAATGAGAGTTACGCGTTTCCTGTACAAGACATACAACTTAATTTATTTGAAAATATTTCAGGGCAAGAAAAAAAAAGAAACAGCATTTAACACTATCCTGAGATGTAACAAAGCAGTTAGGCAGCAGACAGAATGTAAATGCACCATCAAGGAGCACAGGTAATGATTTTCACTTCTTTGTTTTAAATAAAATATTATAATGTTATACATATTTCATCAATTAAAAACTGTTTGGGCTTTTTGTGGTACTGAGATAGTCAGCCATGGCAGCTTTGTTTCTCTCAGTGAGTCCCAGGGCAGCAGTGGCTACACAGCAGCTTGCCACCTGTGAATGTGTGAATAATTGAATGTAGGGTAATACTAAACAGGCAAAAAAGCAATAACCAAGTATTATCATTTTGGACTTATATGAAAAGCTTTACCATGATAGATTTTCGTGCCAAATCACAGACCCATAATGCCAAATGGGTAAACATCGATTTAGAGCCAAATTTCTGACCCCAAGTGAGGTCTCTGTATACTGTCTATTACCTCAAAAATATGCAAATCTAAATGGCTAGCTTTTTTTTAACAGGTCAGGATAGAGAGGAAACCTTTTAAAATCCTGTTATTGGACTATAAAATGCACTAGTCAGGTATGACCCATCAAGATCTTTCTAGTTCTCAGGGACCTGATGCACAGCCTTTCCAGAACTAGAGCAAAGGGCAGGCTAAAGGGCTGGTTATACTCCCCACAGCAGTGTGTCGCAGTGAGCTTGACAAAGACATTTTTGATTTTTCAAGAGAATCAGGAACTAGCTGTGGGTCTAGATACGTCCGAGGCGGTGAGGAAGTAGGGGCGAGTTCGTCCGACAACGGAGGGACATGAGGGCGAAAAAGAGCGGGGATCCAGGTGGGAAAAAGGGCTCCAGCGTTCTCATGCACCTCACTCTTCTAGCTGGTCAAACTTCACAAGTTGTTTTCCGCAATTGCGGCCATAAAAACAAAACAAGCCGGCCTCCTGTCTGCAGTCACCTACGATTTGGGAGAGGTGCAGCAGAGTGTCTGCGGAGGGGGCGGGGAGATCTTTTTGTTCACTGTGACACCTACGCAGACGGCCTAGTTTCAAAGTATAAATCAGCCTTAACTCTGGATTTAAATTCCTAAAAACCTGAGAGGAAAAAAAATAATCAGGAGTTTACTGCAGCTATCTCAAAAAAGTCATATGAGGCTATATTTGTTTCATTTTTATCAAGGGTCAACTATTCTTCAATGCATTTTTTTGTCCTTTTCTGTCACTCTGTTTCAGCTTCTTCCTTCAATGCAATTTCAAATTACCTTATACTAACATAGTCACCCTGCCTAAATACAGATACTGTAAAACCGAAGTATTTTTGCTCCAGGTCATCATACAATATGCATTTTACACCAGCCCATGCCCACAGATGGCTTGTATTCATCGTTTAAAAGCTGAAGCTCTACAATAGTATCTAAAAACAGTTTTCTGATGGATCACAGGGCCGAAACTGTGAGCCCCCTAGGTTGACCCCGAGGTTGAAATGTGAAGTCAAGCCTGACCGATGGCGGAGGGAGGTTGGAATCCATTCAAGCCTGCCATCTGTCTAGAGCAGCGAATTATCAGCAGCCTCAGCCATTATGAATCAGTGATAAAATGTACTGTTGACTGTCGTCGGCCTATTGGCCGCACTGCTTCAGTCCTGTTTCTGCCGCATGAGCATTTCCAGATAAGCAGGTGATCACATGGCCAAGTCACATCTATCAGCAATCTTTACAGCTTCTCAACATGCAAAAAACTCAGTGAGGGGTGTGATACCTACCTATAGGCTGGCCAGCAGACACCCACACTCCTTCAGAGAAGGAAAACAACCTGAGTTAGAAGCCGACCCAGAAACTGCCAAATATTATTTAGTTTTAAAGGTCAAGCAAGAAGTAATATGCAAACACTGGGTTAATGTTTAAGCAGAAACATATTTAAGTTGTGACTTCAAGGGTTTTCTGTACAAAGCAAGCGTGTTTCACTCTGGTCTGGGAATCGTTCCCACTCACCCTGTGGCCCGTAAGCCTGTTGCCAGCCCGGGGCCGGCTGTGCTGTCCAACCATTAGCTGCAGTCAAGATTCCCCTGGGAGCCCACTGGCCAGGACCAAGCTGGCCAGGAGCTTTGTTGTCACGTGGTTCAGCCTTCTTTACTTCCACCTGGATAAAGGACAAGAAGGGCACATTTGGCAACACCAGTAAAGGGTCAATGAAATCATTCACCTGCCCTACCAATGATGCTTTATGATAACCTTTTGGGCCAGTTTAAAATCTTTCACTTTATGTTCCTTGGAATAATAAGGGGGAGTTACTTAATTTAATTCTATAGTGTAGCCACAAGAATTGTATATCTGTGTGTCTCAGGTACCTTCTAAACTACATATTTTATCATTTAAATTAGATATATTCTACATAATTTTGACATGATAGCATTTATAAAACAAATTGGATCCCGATCTTGAAATGTACCGGAGAAACATAGATTTTGTAATTGTTATCAATTGCCCAATGTAGGATAAATACATTCGAATGGAATGTCATGACTTACCTTTCTTCAGCTATTGCTTAAAAGAAGGATCTAGTTTTTCAAATTTATTTGGAATAAGTTTTGGAGGGGTAATGGATGTAAAGAGAAGGTTGTGTCTTTGTTCTAGCAGGATAAACAGTAAGCATGCAGATTGAACAAATGAACTGTCTTTTTAGTCAACATAAAAATAGAACCTTCATACTGTGTCAGAAAAGATAAGAATTAAGAACATGTGATCCCAAATGAAAAACTCGGGCTTAGTTCAGGGTAAATATTAACACATCTCTTTATCAAATTTGGATCCAAAGTTGTTGCTCCATTATCTGAACTTTCCAGTTGGTTACTGAGCATTGATACTAGCAGCTAACCAGAGCAAAGAAACAGGTTGGGACCAAGTGGAGCCAACCAGAAATAGACTGAAGGGTTGAGTTATTGGGGTCACCTTGCAGGAGGAAAATGAATAGCAAATACCTCCCCGCTTTAAGGTGTTACCACCTTACCCAGCCTCCCGTCTTCCTTCTCTGTCGACCTAATTACATGCACATGTTTCCAGCAGTGGGCCTCGCTGCCGCCGGCTGCTACCTGAGCATTTTCTCCCTGCGGGCGCCTCAGCTACAAGTGATGGATACCATGACTTCTGCGTGGTCCTTAACAGCAGAACTGGGATTTGTTCCACAGTTTGATGTGCTCTAGTTTCTAATTTTGTAACGTGTATCTCCCAGCTTCCCCGACTTCCAGCGTAAAAAGTCATGTCAAGAACAATGGATTAAGTCGAGCCCTGATTCCTGCAGGAAACGAGGGCAAAGTCAAGAGAAGCAGGTACCACAGGAGAGGGCGCAGGTTGGACTGAATGATAAACAAAATAAACTCCTCTTTGTAAAGAAATAATCTGAAATACTTAAAATGTTTTAACTGCAAGAAAAAGTTTTTTTGCCAATTAGATTAATAATCAGTCTTAAAATAGCTGTGATTTAATAGGTTAAGATATTAAAAATGTCAATTCAGAAAGGGGTTTTTATTAATTCTTTTCAATTTTTATGTGATGTATAGTACTGATATGAAAAAATATATGCTGTCCAATCTGTCTAATCTTATATTTAAAATTAGACATCGATAGTTTTTTTGTTTTTTTTCAAGGCACAGATTATTTTTGGCATCTGTCTAACAAATCCCTGATATTTGCAGACAGTTTTTGAGGCACATTTTTTTTTTTAGCTGATTTTGCCTTTTCTTTCACCATTTAAATAAAAATAAAAATTACACAATGGTGCCAAGTGCTAAACATGTCTCAAAATGGGAGAAACAATATATAAACATTTATCATTCATTAAAGAAATAATAGGTAGCAAATTGAGTGAGCCACAATGCATTCACATGGCATCACATGATCTCAAGGCATGAATGCCTGAATGCACTAATAAACCAGCAAAGACAGACATGTATCAGCCGATACTGGTGCAAGAAAAAAAACAAACTCTAGTATCGGCCAAAAAATGTGCCCATCTCTATTAAGGAGGAACAGAATATAACAAACATAAAAGGTAGGCTTCAAAGGTAATAAGACTTTGCATGAGGCCTGCATCTATTCATTATGCAACCTGTAGTGTAGACTGGATTTGTGCTTTTAAAGACGCACACATCAATACAGAACAAGTTATTTTAGGGGTCCCTGTTGCTCAGTTCTAAACTATGAACTAAAATAGTTTTTTTAAGTCTGAGTCTGTTTAATTTTTAAGAAATAAATGGTGATTCTCCTGTTTCTGTTTAGCCAGTCTATAATCAAGCCTGGTTTTCTTAGTCCCTGATTCAGTGTCAATCAATAGATGCCAAAATTAAAATGGGATGACAGAATCCCACTTGGATTGAGATTGCCATGGATTTAATAAAATGAGATTCATGCAACCTCTGTAGAGAGGAATGATCAAAGAACTATTGAGGTGTATGAAGTGTAGTATTCGAAAAAGAAGTATCGGCAACAGTGCCAGATTTTGCTACTTGAACAACCTTAACATTTTTTATTTTTTTTTTCTTGGTTTCATCCAAATATAAGGAGAACATGGGACAGCAAAGATTCAAGGCAAATAATAATACCCACAGCATATAGTTTATATTCAGGGGAAAGAATGAGGCTGACTTTAAAATAGCTTTTGCAACTTAAATAAATAAATTCAAACTACTAATTTAATAGCTGCAAAGTATACATCAAAACCAACAGTTCAGGAGCAGATATCATTGGATACTGAATGTTTGCCAATTGTGAGGGTGAGTTTTCCTCAGCTATGCAGCAGCTGGGGGGTGTTTACTACAAACAATGCCGAAACAGGGTGTGCCAAAAAGGTTATTGAGTGTTCAAATACAGCACCACCAACAAAATGTTTTTCCCTGATGAGCAGCTTACCTGTCACTATCTGAAATGAGTGCAGTAAACTCCATCCATCTGGAGCACCCAGCATGCTAAACAAACACTGGGAAGTGATATGCAAATATTATTTCTCAGACTTTCCTTTGCTTATACAGAGAGCTTACAGACACAGTATGGAGGTTTGACTAAGGTCACCGGGTTGAGCTTTTTCAAAAACGAAAATTCAAAAACAAAAAACATGTTGACATGTAAGTGACCTGCCAACAAAAAGATCAGAAAACAAACAGACAAAAGAAAGAAAGAAGAAAAAAAATAATCAGAACTGATCAGACCAATCCTTTAGGTGATAGATGATATATTATACTACTTGAATTGTAAAAAAGTTTTCGCATTTTTGCCATAAAAGACAGATAATTGTGTTATATTTTGGTTCAATCTACTTTAGACACTCTAAAGGAGTGGTCAGTTTAAACAAAGCCTTGGGCGACATATTTAATCCACACACAGAACTTGAGATAAGACGTTTATTGATGCTAATATCTTTGTTATTTTAGAGTGTTAGGTGAAACACTGAAGCTGCTGATGATGCCGCAATTACAGATTGAAAACTTCTGCTCAAAATAAACATCTAAGCGCATCGCCCAAGCCTCTGTTTGGTCTTAAGGGTAAAATAAAACTACAACTACACACTTTTTTGCCCATGATGTCGTGAAAATGCATGTTGACAGCCTGGTCCACTGATTGTTCGGCCTCGAAAGTAATAAATCCAAAACCTAGCCAACGACCAAGAGTGAATCAAGGTAGCAGGGGGTTGTGACAACACAAGATGAAGAACAGTATTGGGCTTCAGCAGATTGAGGGTCCGTCAAGGATGAGCAAGAGGCTCCTGGGGTTCGGATGACGTCGCAGACTTGCAGAGCAACACAAATCCAAGACTAAATCCTGGGGAATTGAAGGAAATCTTTCTCTTTACTGTGCAGAGAAATACTTGGTGAAATAAACAATTATACGTTAAACATGAAGGATAAAAGGTGTAACATTTGATTCAGAGTTTACAATTACCAAATAAGGTCAGTTAGCTTAATTTCCCGCCGTCAGATAAGACTGAGCATTTAGATAATGATCAATGATTGTCAAATGCAGGATTATTACATGTTAGTTGGTGCTGTTTCATCCAAACCCCACCTTGATTTGCCCCAGGTATATTGCTGTGGAGCACACACTCGCAGCAGCCATTGTTAATGCATCACAGAAATATGGAGTAACACAAACTGTAGAATGCCTAAAGCTTTCTCCAAGCTTTCCCAAATTCAGTTTTTTTTACTTTTGAGTCTGCCAGGATAAGCCTAAAATGGACAGTTGGAAAAACTGCTCACAGCGGTAACACAGAGATGCAGGTCACCCCAGTTTCCCTAAACTGATCATTTACTGGTTTCACAGGGAATACACAAGCTGCACCAAGATGGATGAAGCTCAAAGTCAAACTTTTAGGCAACACCAACTGCTCAATGAACTACTTCATCTGATGTTCTATAAAACTTCTCTTCAGAGTTAACAAGCTGCTCGGCGCCGCAGTGATCTACTTTCAATCTGATTATCTTTGGGCTCTGGCAGAACTGGGTTGAGAGCACATCTCCACTTGGGGACCTAACCTGAATCCAATTAAACATCCTGAGAGACGAAGGAGATTTCAGAGACCTCTAGTGCAACGCCAGGCATTCCTCTGCCTTCTGCTCTACAGCTATTAATAACATCTGTCAATGACCAGTCCCCAACCTAAATTAACAGCCATGTTGGCACTATTAAGAAGTTTGAAGTGTCTTGAGAGGGTAGGACCCAGTTGGTTAAGTCAGTAGTATGGACAGTTATAATGACTTGGGTTTCTTTTAAGTCAAGACACTTCAATCTTCTTAATAGTGCCACCATGACTGTGAATTTATAATTAACATTATCGTTAGACCTTTAGTGACTTGTAAGGATCAGAAAAATAAAATCTTTATAAGTTTATTTGGAGATGCCTTCGCACATGGCGGGTAGACACAGCTAATAAAATATGGAAAACAGTCATAAAGACACAGAGACTCCAAGTCTGAGATGTTAATAGATATGGAGGAGGTAAAGCAATCTCTACTCCATGGTTCTATGTATGAGGATCAGCAAGAGGCTGAAATGTTTATTCTTAAAGGAACAAAGGATTCAAAAGTTAGACATCATCCGTTTTAAAATTTTGAATTTAATCAACTGGATCGTGAGAGTAAATTTTTACAGTTTGTATTGAGTCAAATACGAAAACTTATGAATTTATAACTATATTATCAGAGCCACAAAAATTCTATTTCTGTAAGTGTCAATAGTCAGACTAGCGGTGTATTTTATGAGGTCTACTTCATAACTCTTTACTAGAGTTGCCTTTTCTGTTGCTTTTTTTTCTTATGCTATATCAGGAACAACTTGTCCTGGCTATGTTCATAACTCTGTTTTGCAAACAAGGTTCTGTAGATCAGGGCCATTTATTTTGACGGCAAATCATTCACAGCTTCTTACTTTGTCACTCAAAGATCTGGATAATTTTTGTAAAATCACAAAGAAACCTCAATGCTGTTTTCATACCTTTTTTTTTTCTCTTTTTTTTTTTAAAGATCAATAGCATTGGAAATGACATCAGACAGATGCATTCCATTTAAAATGTCATTCTAAATAAAGGTCCATATCAGTAAACTACAATATTTGTAGTCGCACCTATACATAAAAAATTATTATACTTTTTACTCAGCCCACATGTCTCTATACAGAATTCATTATTTATAGTGGTTTGATATCTTCTTATTCCAATTATCCTGCTTTCTATAGCTGTAAGAAGAACATCATTAATCAAAATCTAGGCTTTATGACATCAGTATTTGTGTATTAATTGAATTTACTAATTTATAAAAGCATCAATTACAGTAAATTAACTGTAATTTGTAATTTATTGGAGATTAAAGATTTTTTTATTTGATGGATTTAACTTTCATAAAAGTCGTAGATAATTTTGGGTATGTTTAAGCTCTCTTCCATCTTGCTGTGTTGAGAGTTAATATAAACTCAACAGTTTAGTACCATTTCAGGACATTTTTAAAATTATTTTGACGGGAAAAATAAAATAGTATGCAACATGTATTCGCACCACTTTAACACGCATGTTTTATTTATTATCATTTTTTGTTTAACTGATTTACTTTGATGTTTTTAAAGTTAGCTTGCTTTTTTTATATGAATTAACTCTAAGTTAGGTCCAATAGAACTAGGTGATTGAAATTTACTTATTTCAGTAACAGTAAAAACAGCTTAGAAAGAACCAAATTTGGTTATAGTCCAACTTTTTTTAATCCCTAAACTCCTCTATGGACTTTGCTACATAATCTGCTCACTGCTGTCGTTATCACAGTTGCTCATTAAACCATTTCCACCAAATGTTTTCCTTCTACTTAACCAAATTATTTTCTTTAATAATAATAAACTCCTCCATGGATTCTCACATAATATTACCAATTAACTTGTGTGTTTATATATCAACTGCTTCATTGATAAATGTATATCAAAAACAGCCACTGTGTAACTCGTCGTTAAACTGACACTAAGCCAATGAACTGATCAGTGCAACTGTCAAAGCAGTTCCAGTTTTTTTTACCGATGAATAAAACATAGTTCAAATAAACGCAGTAAATATTTCATATGTCTATTAACCAGAATAACCTGATTGAAAACTCTCAGTATGTCAGGTCTCTCCAACCACTGATAACAGTCTGAACCCAGCATAAAATCTGATGCACCTTATGTACTCCCCATTTCAGAGTAAAAAATGATTTGCTTTTACATCAGGCCTGTACCTCTGTGTTACCATTCAATGCAAAGTAACCTAAAGGAGAAAAGACAAATCTTATAAAAAACACAGTTAATCACATTCAAACCATTCACAAGGAGAAAGGGGACAGAAGAAAGAAAAATAGAAAGGGCTTACTTACAAAAATACTTAACTTTCTACAAACGGGAAAACATACTATGCCATTTAAGATACAAATAGAAGTTACTTCTAAATCCAGTTAAAGAAAACTTATTCCAATCTTTAAAGCATATAATATACTTTTAGTACCAGAAAATGTTAATACTATTAAAAAGTCTATATATATATATATGATTGTTACTGATGCAGAAACATCATGTTAAATTCCAACGACAAACTATTCTGGGTTTTTCCCAACAGTGGATGAATGAGGACAGAAAAGGCGGAGTGGTAATGCAAGTCGTGGGTCAGCGGGCGTTGCACCACTGCTATGTAGGACGAATGCAGATGAAACAGCTGTGACTGTAACTCAGTGGGCAGAGTCTGACACAAGCCCAGCCAGTGGGACGAGTCTGATTCCCGAGGAGGCCGTGCATGCTAAAAGTGTCGACACATGTCAAAGGCTCATCATATATTTATGACTTTACTGGACAGATGTAAAAGTCAGTCATTTCTGCAGTCGGGAAATGGGTTAGAGAAACTTTTCAATGAGCAGAAACACCATTTAGAATAACGGTATTGTTTCTGTGGTAACAATCCTATTTCCACCACGGATTTGGGGCTGCCAGCCGCTCCTCTCTGAAGGACAAATACCTCTTTAGATACTCATGCTGTTCTCAATATGCCTGTTTCACACTGTGATTAAGTGCTGGATTTTTTGGAGCACCAATTTTCCCACATTTTGTCTCCCTATGAGGTAGTGGTTTCTTTTTCACTCTCAAAAGACATTTTTATGAACTTTTACATTAAAATGTATAAATCTACTTCATGTGTTGCATTTTGGGAGAGAAATTTACTAGCTTAAAAAAAACAAAACATAAAAATACCACTTTGGGTAATAAGTCTTCATGAAGATATATATCAACCTGCTTAATTAAAGCCACTGTGGACTCGGATTTGCATTAATACATCCCATGTGGGATTTTCTAAATGTACTTTATGTATTAAAAGAAAATGCCTTTACAATGGCATGGAGAAAAAACTGCATGGATAAAATATCTGAAAAAATGTAGAGCTATATCTTTGGGGAGAATATTGCAATGTGAACCTTTCTAAAAACAGTGGGAAGTGAAGAAAGATAGAATGTAGACATATTAATACCATTTACTGAAGCAAGAATCTGTTCCAAGGGCTTTATTTCCATTATAACAATTTAAACACTACATTCATTTATAGCTTAAGTATAATTTGCCACTAAAATGCAAACAACTGAATCATTTAAAAAAAGGGGGAACAATTAAAAACAGATTATTACTCTGTTTCTAGATATTGCCAATAATAACTTTTGATTAGTTGTATTTTTTTTAAATATAACCTGCTTCCTGCAGAGTACACAATATAATACAATAAAATATCAATTACAGTGTCGATAGTCTGAGCTGGTACCAAGTTAGGCTAAGAAATTAGATCTTACATCCAGCTAAAAGCTAATTTACTTAGATTAGCTGCTAGACAGCAAGAAGATATTGGAGGAAATTAAATACTCGTTTCCCTCAGATCTACTGAAGACAAAAACATCTAATAGTCTTAAGCGGGCAGTTAGGAAGTTCAAAATACAGCTACATTTTCAATTTAGCAATCAGTGGTGTCTGAAGTACTAAAGATTTAGCTTCACTGTCCTCACCTTCCAGCAGCTCATGGATGTCAGACAGAGATTTTAAGTTGAACTATAAAACTTGGTGTCTTTAAAACTGATGTCTCTCAGCAAGACAATTTAACAATAACGCTGCTTATAGAAGATATAAGAATGCTTTTGCAGAGCATCATGGTCTAATATTCCTACCTGATGATTTTTTAAATTTATTTTTTTTTTAATCCAAAGTATTAGTAAAACATTACTGATGCCTTGGATTTGGTTACAGAAATATGGAAATATGTAGAGTTATACCATTCTTAGTCTTTTTCACTGAATGTATGTTAAACATGTGGATGGACTAATGAATAACTGGAATGCTGTGCAGAACCATTGATGGCTGCAAGTTAGAGAACAAGAACCGCTTTGCTGAAGGTTCCTTTTTTTTATCCACAAACTCTTTTTATATTTAAACTATATGTAATCAATTTGGAGCCTTTTTCTTTTTTAAGTTCATTGTCCTTCAGTAAAATAAATAGTTTCCTTGTTTGATTTACGATTTTATTTTCAGAAAATCAATCAGAGGAAAATCACAGGAAAGGCCTCATGTTCTCTAACATGGTCATAAAGCACACACTACAAAGCAAACTCTACAATAGCTATAGTAATACCAAACAGTGTGGGAAAAAAGGGCCAGGGCACAAAAAGAAATGTTGACAGGAGACCATGTGCGACACAATGAGGTGATTTCTGGCAATCATGATTTTACTAGTAAGTATGTTCATTTTGTGAAACTGAATTCTTTATTAAAGTAGGCCACAGACACACATTCTGGGTTTATTCTAATCCACTTTGACTGCTTTTGTTCTTTAGTTTGTGTTCATCACATAACCTGCTGTAGGGTAAAATGTTTTAACTGGAACTGATTTAAATGGAAATGAATGGGTTGTGATTTTTCTCTTTGGGCCAGAATAGTTTGTCATGGGATTTAAGATGGTGAGGAATAGAGTGGGACAGAAGGGGGAGAGAGAAACGGGATCAGCTTTTACCTCGGGGCCTCTGCTTCTCCGCATCATAGATCATTACCACCTCTGTGACCTTGAAAGGGACGAAGGAAAACAGTGGCTCCATTAGAAAAATGGACAGGATCCTTTCATATTCCACTTGATAAGACTATCCCCTCCAAGTTAACAGTTTTATACAGTGCCATGGAAAAGTGTTTGCTTTCTAACAGATTTTCTCAGTCTTTCCTTTTCTTTCGCACTTGAGTATTCCAGGAAAAAAATTTTTATCAAAAAAAGAAAGCAAAATAAAAATGATAACCCAAGCAAATACAAAAAAGAAGATTAAAAGAAGCGTTTAATTTCACAAACACAAACCAGCCTCTACCATGACAAAGACGAAATGATCTCATAAGTTAACATATCTCCTTTTGATGTTTTGCCTTTTGAGAAACAGCCACTGGCATCTAGCAGTCCAGAAAGGTTATAAACCGTTACTAAAGGGGGATAAACAGTGTTGTGTCTTGACAAGCAATGTGTCCACTGGCACATATAGATTAAAATGATTTAATGCAAACTAGCCCCAGGTTGCTGGTGTGGAAGCTACACCTTGGAGCCGCAACAATCGACTGGAGGCAGCCAAGGCACCATTTGATTTAAAAGATGAACAGGGGGATATTTATTGCTGCATGTCTGATGCTTTATAATTCAAGTCAAACATTGAGAGCCATAATAAAACAGGAGTGTCCAGAAAACCGAAATTACCACAAGAGCTTCAGTTACTACATGGTCCACCAATAAGAAAGAGACTGGGCATCAATAAGACAACACTAACACCCATGTAGACCAAAAAGATAATAAATGGCACACCACACCTCTAAAAAAAATTTAAAAAAAATTCTAATATTCCCAAAACTTCTTCCATCAACAGAAAGTAACATATCCAAGAAAGTTTATGTCCCATTATGTCTGGTATAAAACAAAAAAAAGAAAACAAGTGTTCTAGAGAAAAAGACACTGATGATCAAACATGGTGGTGGCAGAGTGATGGCTGCTATGCTGCTTTCAGACCTGGACAGCTTGCATTTTGTGATGGAACACTAAATTCTGCTGACACCTGAAAATGCAGCAAACCAATGACTGAAACCAGGACAGCCAGCGGACCTGCCTAAATATTTTTGGGGGTTGACTTGGTGAAAGTCTGGAATCAATTGAGATGGAGATGATGTGCAGTGACCTTAAACAGACCATCGAAAAAAAAAAAAAAAAATAATTGCCTCATCAAACCTATTCTGCAAAAAAAGTGCAGGAAAGATTTCCTTCAGGCTGGTTTATGCTCAGAAGCCAGGTCCTCTGCGTGCGTCATGTTTAACGCAGATATTGTATTGTCCCTCTTTCATTGTGGCGTGCAGACCACGTTTCAAAATTGGACATAAATCAAAAAATATCTACAACACACCTGCGTCAAGCTCACTGCGACACTCTGTTGCGGGAGCATAACCAGCCCTTTATAGATGACATACTACCAGATATTGTAAACACTTAATGGCAGTTGTTACCACCTAAGTTAGTAGGTTCTGGGTTTTTTGTTTTGGTTTTAAAAGCAGTGACAAGCTGATTCATGGAGCTTTTCTTCTCGTGATGGATGAAAAACATTTGAAATCTGTATTTTGTATTTATTCAGGTCATCCATGTAATGCATTTGGTAATTTGAAAAAGAAAAAAAACTAAATGTGTCAAAACGTCAAGAGTAAGAGAAATCCAATGAAATAAACACTTCTTTAGTACACAGCATACTCTAAAGTCATTTTAACCGAGCTCAATACTTAATTGTTCAAATAATCAAAACAGTTATTTGGAGATACTTACCGCTCCGAATCTATTGAAATAGTCCCTGAGTTCAGGCTCCCCGCAGTTATGAGGAATTCCTCCTACAAATATCTTCTTAGATTTATTGCTTTCAGCTTTGCTGCCCTTCTGAAATAAAAAAAAGACATGTATGGATTTGATATCAAAGTGTGTTAAATGATCACTTTATGGAGGAGGGGGAGGTCACTGAGTTATTATCTCCCTCGACAGTGCAGAAGAAATTAGGCTCTTCTACTGCCCTGGGGTAAAACTCCTAACATGTCACGTCAATGCAACTCCAGTCTCTGCAGTTCAAAGACCAATGCATCTTCCACTTTCACTGCTGCTGTGCACGGATATCAAGCAAGTGAAGCAGCATGCTGCTGAAATAGCTTATTTTTAACAAAAACATTTCACATTTTCAATGCAAAAACCAGCTAAACGGCTCAGGGATCGTTAGAGAGCCAGTGGCAAGAAGAAAGGCCTCATCTATAAATGCCCCGGACGCATAAAGCCAAGATATGCTGCATAGAAATTCATTTTGACAGAAAAAAATAAATAACTAAAATCTAAAAACACTTTGCTACAAAACCCATGCAGATCATTTGGAGTCACTTTGTCCCTCTGGGCAGCATTGTTGATTGACCCAAAAATTATCCAAGTTGGAGGAAAGCATCCATTGCTTGGAGATATCTTTTGCATCATAAACTCCATTTCAATTTTAAATCCTATGTTCACTCAGCTTAAGTCAGAAGACCCCTACAGAGGCAAAACTTCACATAAGAGTGGAAAAAATGCTGATCCTGTTTGTATAAAAAAACGTGGTTATACAAAGAGGTTGTTGATCTACAGTTCCCATAGTGCTAAAATATGGGGAAGCACTTTTTACATATATTGAAAGTATGACATGTATCTTATTAAAGGCACTCAAGACAAACTTTAGGAGGGAATGGAGAGAAAAACTGTTCTAAACAGGTTTTATTCTGGAAAATACACCAATGCACCTAACCTACCCTCCTCAGAAGGAACCAGATCTCTTACCCAGCCCTCCTTAGTTCGTGACTTTTCAGGCTGCATTCCTCTGGGTGTACATGGCTTTGGGTCAATCTGCCAGGGGAGGCGAAGAAAACAGTTTTCCATTATTTTCACAGAGAAGCACCTTTAAATGTCTTCAATCAAAAGGTAGTTACATGCAGAATACTGATGGATCTCAATAAAATAGAGAATCATCACAAAAGTAATTATGGTTACTTGGTTTAAAAAGGAAAGTTATATGCATGTCACACAGTAATACATTTTAGGTATCTTTCTGTACATGTTGTTGATTTTGTCTGGAAGGAATAAAAACTCAAAAATCAGTTTCTTATAAAATGTGGTCAAATATATAAAACCAACTAAAAATAAAACCAACTGTTATACTGAACTCTTTTGGCTGAACAATCAAATTGCCTTCAGAGTTTTACTGAAGCTCATCACATTAAAACTGTGTTTTAGAAGCTTTTTGGTAAAAAAGAAAAAAAAAAGCTCATCTTTAAATAAAATTGGATTCCAAGCTGCTTGTGATCCAGTACGGAGTTTCCATAGTGAGTGATGATTTGGGGACCCATGCCATCTGCTGGTATCAGTCTGATGTGTTTTCTAAACTCGAGAGTCAGCAAAATCATTTTCCAGGGATTCTTACAGCACTTCATATTTCCCACCTTCCCTCCAGAGCTTTATGGAAATGCTGATATTGTTTTCCAGCAAGACTTGGCACCTGCACATACTGCCTAAAGTAGCAGTACCTGGTTAAATGTGCATAGCATCACTGATTGGCTGCCAGCAAACTACTCTGAAATTAACCCTGAGAATCCATGCTCTACTGAGGAGAGAAGAATGAGAGAAACCAGAAATCCAGACAAGCTGCAGGTCTTTATCGAAGAAATCTTGGCCCCGTTAACACCTTTCACCTGAGATTTTTTTTAACAGTGCTGCTACAGTAGCATGGTTCTTCAACTTTGTATTCAACCTGAACAACTGAAATTCCAGCTTTACTGTAGCGATCTAATGGTCCAGTTTGCAGCGTCTTATTTTTCCTTTCATAGACTCATCTGAAAATGCAACCAGAAAAAAAGAAAAAAAAAAATATATCAAAAGAAACATGACCTGATATTAAGCCGGGTTGTGTTGTTTAAAATGTATCTGACTCATTATACATGAGAGCTAAACAGTATCCTTTAAGTGTTGTTCAATTGCAACATACGTTAAGATTAGGATAATTTTCACAGGCTGGAACTAAAAGCACATTCACCTTGACCCTTCTTTCACCTTATTTCTCCCTCTGCTTCAGACGGCAATGATTTATGCTTTGATCCGTAGCACAGAGGAATATCAATATTGGCAAGAGAAAGTGATTAAAAATATATATATAATGGACAAAGTTTAAAAGTAAATAAATAAAATGTATGGTATTTATTAATACTTCACCTAAACATAAACTATATAAATCAATCTTATGTCATCAAATTCATCCTAAAGATGGCAGAGGCACACATGAGGCTGTGTATTGAATAAATGCAGGGAGGGATGCATTGTATAGAAACAGCTTCAGAAAAAAAAAAACATATTTACATCCTGCTTTGTAATCCAGGGTGGATCAATGAAAGCTTTGGGTATGTGTGATTCATTTTTAACGTTGAAAACAAAGGGAAGTTCTTCTCTCTGACTTAAGGCTTGGTTTGCTACTGAACCTGCCAGAGCTTTGGAGGGAGGAGCTAACAGCACCATTCACTGCTCGCTGAGGACAATGAACTTGAAGCGATCAGTGTTTTCATGCTTTCCCCAGTCTCCGACACAGAAAAAAAATTCACTAGATTTGTCACTACTTTGGAAAAAATATGTATAAAAAGGCGGCTAGAGGCGTCTGAAAAATTATTAAATATAGTAAAAAGTGTTTTATTGGTAAAAGTATTGGATTGTCTTCTCTAATTTTCCTGGAAGCTTTGGTTCTTACAGAAACCAGCATCATAGACAGGAATGGGCCACAGTGTCTGCTTCATTTCAGGCTCAGTTCCTCTACCAGAGACCTGGAAGCTTGAGGGTTCTTCACAGTATCTTTGCTGTCCCTGGACGGAGATCTCTGCTCTTTCTCCAAGTATCTCTTGGAGCCACATCTCCAGCATAGGGGTTACTCCCCCCAGTTCTCCAATGACCAAGGGCACAACAGTTGCCTTCACCTTCCAGGCTCTTTCTAGTTCTTATTGCACCCTTGGTATTTCTCAAATTATTCATGTTCTTTTGTCCTGATGCGTCCATCATTTGGGATGGTCACATCGATCACTACAGCTTTCCTCTGCTAATTATCAATGATCATAATGTCTGAATAGTTGGCCACAACAATTTTGTCTGTTAGTATCTGAAAGGCTCTTAGCTCCTTAATTCTCCACCACCTTGAAAGGTGGGCTCCCATTTTGACCTGGGGGTCTCCAGTTTGTACTCTGCACAGATGTTTCTGTAAACTATACTAGCCAATTTTTTTATGATGTTCCACATATCCCTTTCATATCTTCCATCCTGCTGTGAGATGCTGGACTGTTTCTGGGGACAATTTGCATAGCCTGCACCTGGAATCTTGCCTTCTATGGTAGATATGGGCCTCTATTGCTCTGGTGCCATTTATCAAATTCTTTACATTATTTCAACATATATTTAAAAAAAAACTTAATTTTAAAGGTGTGCTGGCTTTTATTTTTCCATGACATGTGCAACATATTATAAAAGTAGAGGGAACCCTGAGGTCAGCAGAGCCACAGGTTGAATAACTCCATGCCATGCAGCATTGATCTAGTAAGAGGCCGTCAACAAGAATACACTATACACTGTGTGCAATACAAGAAAGAGATTCAGCAGACTGATATCTCTCAGTTAAAAATCCTTTGTAATTGTTCTTAAAATAATCAAATGAAACTGAAATGAGTTTTCATTACCTAAGAGACATGATAACCAAAACAGAAATGCATGATTTCAATGACTGTGTGATAATTTATTGATTCACTTACAAACTGAAGTACTAAAATACAAGAACTTAGTCTAAAATTAGGTAGGTGTGTATATACAGACAATAGGTCAATAACATGGCATTACATTATTCTCCACAATCATCAAAACATCACTGTCCATAGATTTGACTTTGTGCAGAAGAACCTAGTTATGTAAACACAATCATTCACACTGATATTCAAGCACAGCCCAAAAATTAGTTTTTGAGGGTTTTTCACACATAGTTTCCTACTGAAATAAAATACGCAATGTATAGCACAATACTTAACCAGGGGTAACCCCTAAGAAAGTGTGTTTTACCGTTTTGAACTGTGCCTGTATTTAGTCGAAAATACTCACATTTCTTCCATCAAGGTTATGTGGCTTCGTCTCCAGCACTGTTCGTACACAATTAGGATCTTTGAACTTAACAAAGCCGAAGCCTCGCGACTGATTTGTCGTTTTGTCCTTCATGATGACACAATCTACTACCTCTCCATACTGTGAGAAGTAGTTTCTCAGTGTTTCTAAGAAAACAAAGACAGACATTAAATTGACTCATCACATTGTGTAACAATATGAAATCTCAACCACAGATTGAACTAATCCATCTTTTTCATCTGCACAGCACAAAGATATACGATAATGATTTTGATTCCTTGTTCTTTTGATTGTGTTAAAAGAAGCATAGAAATATGTTTAGTACTAAAAAAAGCTGTGGAGATGTAACTGGCACATAAGGAAGCATATAAATAAAATAAAAATGTTTTTAACAAATTAACCTGGGATATTAAACCCTGAAACTTCTCTGGTGACTTTGGATGTATGTTGTATCAAATTACCAGGGATTGCACTATTTATGTGAAAACATTTAATTAGTTTAAGTTGCATGCAGAAACTCCCAACGAGCAAACAGAGCTCAGACCTAGTGTCATCTTGCAGAGAGCCAAACACGTTACCAACCAATGCAAATCTAGCACACACCCAGAGAGCCAGCTCAACCAAGACAAGCAAGTTTGAACAAATGAGAAGTCACTTTGGAGAGTTAAAGTAATTGGTAAAAAGTAATTTCTTATTGTTTAAAAGCCCTCTGGGATTGGCACAGAAGAAACCATCGAGTTACACTGAACTGTGGTGCAGATCTTAAAGTTAAGACGGCAGTAAATACAGACAAGCTCTTGTGCAAAGTTAAACAATGGTATATTAACCATGAGAAAGAAAGGCTTTAAGCAAACCTGAGGCACCTCCTATTGGGTCTGAAAGTAAGGGGAATGTAAACCTAAACTCACTGCTTATTATTGTTCCTATAGAACGCTGCTTTGGTAAATACAAAATAAAAATTCATCTCTAAACAAAAATCAAACTGTATTCATACAAAAAATAGATATATTCTCCTGACTTTATGACAAAACAGATATAAAAACAAAATAACCCCATTTTTAAATAAACCCATTTTTACTTTGATCAGCGCAACAAATAATGAAAACCTATTTTTTTGTTCATTAAATAAACCAAAATTAAAACTTCTACCAACTAGTAGCATGTATTCAACAAGACTGTTTAGATAAAGGTTAGGGATGTCTAGTTTTATGCACAGACTTGGAATATGTTGTAACACAGTAATATTTTGTTGGATCCAAAAATCCTTCATCCATAAAAAAAACAAAAAAAACAGGATAACATGTTTTCTCTTTTATGGAATATGATGCTAGAGAGGAAACGCTGGAACTATCACACCTGTTCTTAACATATAAAACTAAAACCCAAGCAGATATATGCTGCTGTTAGTATGTATGCATATAAGAGACATATAAACATGTCTCGTTATGCATAAAGAGACAAATCCCTGGTTGACTGTGCTTGATTTACCTTAAAAGTTTAGATTTTTCCAAATCAACCAAAACAAACTAAAAATCCTACATCTCGAATATAAAGCCCATATTTCACTCCGATGTTTCCTTTATAGACAAATATGCAGGAGGCTTTTTCCTCTTGTAAGTTTTCTCTAAAGGTTAAAATATTCTATAATAATGAACATGACCTTTTATGCTGATTAAAAAATATTAAGGCAGAGCATCTGCATTCAGAGTATCTAAGACTGACAATTGGATGTCAAAAGGAAATACCTGCAGAAAAAAAATAAAAACCGATGAAAAAAGTATTTGAAGGAGGACTTTTATTTTATTCAAATTTATAGAGTATATCAGCTTTCAAAAGCAAAACATCCTTTTAATTTTAACCAACACACAAAGGTATTTTATTATGCTTAAAGATCAAGTTAACAGATTTGAATACGCTGCACAATATATTGAACCACAATCATCACAGCATTGTTGATGTGTGAAATGTTGCAATCATAAAGGGCTTCTTGCCAGAGGTGTCAAGTAACAAAGTTACTCGTTACTGTAGCCAAGTACACTTTATAGGTATCTATACTTTACTCCATTACTTATTTTTCTTCCTACTTCTTACTTATACTCATTAATTTTTTTACACAAGTATCTGTACTTTCTATTCCTTACATTTTTAAAACAAACGTTACTCGTTACTCTTGGCTTCAGTTTAATGTTAATAAATATTTATTTTATTTGCACCATCAAATGCAGATCATTGGCGCCATGCACATCTAGTGTAAACTAGTGTAATTGGATGAGTCACATAACGCAAACACTCATTGGTTAGCTATTCGTCAAATTTGCGCTAATGGCAAAGGAAATCATCAGAAACAAGCAGGTGTTCCTCAAACTGCAAACGTGAATTGTCTACAACGTCGGATTCGGAAAAAGATGTTGAAATAACTTAAAGGTCAGACAGAGGCGAGAGCTTATCGAGAGATGGAGAGGGAGCCCAACAAAACCTCCCTCATCCTTGGTCCTATCTCAAAGAATGTTTTGAAATAGTCGAAAAAATTAGTTTTCAATTTATATAGTGGCATCTGGTTGTTTTTATTACAGGTTACCTTATACGTTTATACTTTAAATAGTTTTTGGAGCTCATACTTTTTCCCTTTTACTTGAGTAAAGAGGTCAAGTTGGTACTTCAACTTTTACCAGAGTGTTTTTAAACTGCACAAGTAACAAATGTGTGTACTTTTGACACCACTGCTTCGTGCATGCAACATTATATTCCATTTCTAGTGCATTCAAACATTTTTCACACACATTTGGCCATTTGGATTAAGTTTCAGGGTCTTTTATTGCCTAAGCAGATATGGATCTTAATGACCAATTGAAACGGAAATGTGTCCTTTTCCTACTATTGTGCAGCTCTATTAATGATATATTACACTCTTGCAATACTAGTTAAGACCTACCTTGTGTAGTACTCCAGTCCAGTCCACCTACAAAAAGTTTCCTAAAAAGATGAGACCAAACATTACCACTAATTATAGTAAAGAAATAAATGTTGATGCATCAGAGAGAGAAAAAACACACATGAAAAAAACTGCTGCACCTTTAACGTGTTCAATACAAAAGCTGCTGTTACTTCTTCAAGGATGGAACAAGGCAGGTTCCAAGAAAAACACTGCAACATCAGGAAATAAACACACGGTGCAACGCTTACAAGGTTTTATGAGACTAGAGTTGAGCTGTTCTTTGTGAAAAGCCACTTGGCTCTTTAAACACTGCATCCAACGGCATTAAAAGGTCTTTCATACAAGACATCCTGCCACGTAAGTTAGCCCGGGACAGATCCGTGACGTTAGGAAGCCAGAGCAGGAGCCAGCAGCTCTGCTGTAAAAGCCCGAACGGAGCGGAGCGGAGCCCGGTGGGAGAGCGATGCATGCGGAGCATCCCAACTCCTGGTGTCGACTCAATTATCGTGAAGTTCTGGATGTCTATTAACTACTGTATTTATTCCATGGTGGAGATCTTAAACACACAATACCACACGATAAATGTCAGTCTAACAGCTCAGTACAGAGGATGCTCTGTTCTCCATCGGTGCCCGCTAAATGTCCTAGCCGCGGCGAAGTCAAGAGCAGACTTTCGCCTCACTACCGATCGTTAGCACAACTAGCCTCTGCTGCTTCGAGCTAACTAGAAAGAGGTGACAACAATAAAACAAAATGACAATTAGCATGGCATTAGCGCGACTGAACGTGGCTGAATTCGCTGGAAGCCGTGACACAAACAGCCCACCTTCTTTGAGCACTAGTTTCACTTTTTAGCCGTGTTTCCTCCTCGGCTTACCGGAGCTAAGCGAGCTCGTTAGCCGCAGCTAGCTGTCAAATATCGTCTTAACAACACAGCGCGCGGGCTGTAAGTTACAAAAGCGCTCGGAATATGTCTCGCGAAAACAAGGGGGAGTTCTGTTAAACGTGTCTTACCCGACTTCATCTCCGACTAAGTTGTTGTTCATTTCTGAGGCTGTGGCGGTGGACTTTGGGAAAGTGTGAGCGGCTTTATTGCTCCAGTGCTGCCCCTCTCAGACTGAACGCGGAGGAAGGTCACTCCGCTTTTTGGTTCAAACTGTTCTGCGCAATGACGACGCTGCGGGGGGGCAGCAGGCTTTAAAGGAACATTACACTAAAAACAGCCCCGCTCCGCGGCTCATTTGCTTACGGAAAATGGAAATTACGTCATTTTTAATTAACTATAGCATTGCAAAAATTCAACATTTCGCAAAGAAATTTCTCGTTAAAACCACAAAGATTAATATTTTTTAATTGGATTTTATGTAACGGAACAACATAGATATGAGAAGGTTAAAGATTATTATTAGTGGTCTTCAATAAATAAAATGAATAATTAAACAGAAATGATAAATAATATAAAAAAAAAATACTTGTCTGCGTAATGCACTACTGTGTGATTTGGCTCAAACAGGCACAGTGCAGTCTGCATGAAACAATTAATTCTGCAGAGAGGATCATCCAGGACACAGAAGCATAGCCAGAAATTTTTTATAAGGGTGGCTAGACAATAACCAATGTACACTAAGGGGAGGCCGAAAGCGGATCGGCACCAGAACCTCACAGTCCATCTACATTGTTCCAACAGGAAAATTAACAACCAAAACATCCATATTTTCTAAATAAAGACAAACTATATTTTCCTACAGCCTTTGCTAAAAAATAGGCGCATATATTTAAACATCTGTAATTTTTTGATTAAAAGGTATACTGGATGAAACTCAGTTTTGAATTCTGGGGCGTAAATCAATCATCATTGTCATTACTTACCTACTTGTATCAATAAATGTTCTGTATAAAATGGATATTTACAAGTACTAATATCTACATAAATTAATTATTTGATCATTTTTTTATTAAAATTTTTATTTATCTTTGATTTCACTGAAGACTCCTAGATGACTTGCAGAGACACATGTTTTTCTCTTTACCCCATTTAACACAAAATCAAGCTCTGAAAAGAACATGAATTCTGTGCTTATCATCTTTGATGTTAGTATATTGATGTGTATATTTAACCACAAAAAATAAAATGTTTTAAATATTCCACTTGAGAGTATAACTGTTGCCACCATCTGTCTTAGAGGGAAATAAACGATAGGGTTTGCCAGGGCCGGTTCTAGCCCTTTGGTGGTTGCCCTAGGCGAGATTGAGTTTTGCGCCCCCCCCCCCCCCCCCCCCCCCCTTTTTTTTGACCTTTTTTGTCTGATTTAGACAGGGGGAACAGATTATAACAGGTGGCCTGCTATAATTTGTTCCCCCCTTATAACTTTAAGAAATAAAGGTCAATCACATCCAAAGTTTCAGGAGTTAGTTGTCGTCATAAAATATATTTTTAAGCTAAAAATGAAAAAGCTGGGGCCTTTTTTGCCTGATTTAGACAGGGGGAACAGATTATAACAGGTGGCCAGCTATAATTTGTTCCCCCCTTATAACTTTAAGAAATAAAGGTCAATCAACTTCTACGTTTCAGGGGTTAGTTGTCATCATAAAAGATGTTTAAAAGCAAAAAATGAAAAAGCTGGGGCCTTTTTTGTCTGATTTAGACAGGGGGAACAGATTATAGCAGGTGGCCTGCAATAATTTGTTCACCCCTTATAACTTTAAGAAATAAAGGTCAATCGACTCCAAAGTTTCAGGAGTTAGTTGTCATCATAAAAGATGCTTATAAGCCAAAAATGAAAAAGCTGGGGCCTTTTTTGTCTGATTTAGACAGGGGGAACAGATTATAGCAGGTTTTATTTCATCCCATATTGCCAGTTCTGGCAAAATGGGATGAAATAAAACGGCTGATGTTAGAAGACAAACTATTTATTAAGGATAGTAAAACATAGATAAATTGTACGTTACTATAAACACAGATATAGATTTAAGTACTAAATTTCAACCAGGAAAAAATAATTTTCCTTCTGCATATAGTCTTTAATGATTACACGTGCACTCCATTTTCTATTTCATTTTTATTACAAGTATATGGTTTACAACAGTTTTCAATGGGATGAGAACATTTGGACACTGTGAAACAGAGATTTTTTTAAGGAACGTGTGAAAAAGAACAAGGATCTGTTTGCTTTCAGAGGGAGGAGTAGACACTGCTGTCAGCGACCAGCTATCAAGCAAACGTTTGTGTTTTATTATTAGTTTTAGATCAATATCACTGGCGATATTCTGCTATAACATGTGAAGTAAAGAATAAAACAGTAAAGTTCAACTTTCATACACGTAAAACCTTTCAAATTTCAAGTTCTGCACGTTGGAATTGAAGCGGAGTTAACTCGGGTTGTTCTTCCTACTCCGTGCGCGCTCCCGACGAGGGGATACAAATTTTCGCAGGGATAACTACCTTGGCACGACACCGGGACTGGCAGCCTCTCACACAACACGATCGTGTCATTTCTGGTAAATAATTGTGCCGAAAGAACAGCCGCGTGTGGCTTATCTCGACTTTTCACCTAATATGGTGGTTTTCCCACGATGCACCGCGCCCGAGGTAAACATTGACGTCACCTGGCGCAGACCGATTGTCCAACTCGCTGTTGTTCGTCCGCTGCCTTCTCTTCATCTGAAACATCTGGGTCGAACATGTGAGGCTCCAGACACAAATATTCTTCCTCCGATACATCAGAATGGTCTCCTGGTAGGAATCGCTCGGTTAAAGTCGAAATTTTGCTTTCAGAGTTCTCGTTTTGGCTATCGCATTTAGTGCAGTAGACCGCCATGAATGCTCCCGTACTGACACGACTTCCGGGTTGCAGGGCGCTTGAAAAGTGATCAGAATCTTTTCCGGTTTTCTCTTAAATGTGAAAAAATAAATAAAAAAACGGTGGTATATTTATTTGTTCATATTTTGCTATTTATATATACGTAAGGTTAAGTCAAACTGACAGACGCTTCATAACCGGTTTAATTCGCTTTTTTTTCTAATTCTATGATTAATGGGAAGTAAGCCTAAGGGCGACGCTAGAGGGTGCCCCCAACACATTTGTCGCCCTAGGCAATTGCCTAGCTCGCCTATAGCAATCGCCGGCCCTGGGGGTTGCCACAGGGGTGGCTAAGGATTGGCTAAGGGTGACAATGGCCACTCCTGGCCCCCCATCTAGCTTCGCCCCTGCCAGGACATCCAGGCTCTGCAGATCCTACACATCGTGGACATAAATGTTGAGATTTTTACCTTCAGCTCGGGGCTACAGAATGCTATTTCCAAAAATTAGTCCCTACAGAGACAGTTTCTTCGTCCAGGCTTTTTCTCAAATGAACCCAATGAAAATCTCACAGCCTAAAAAGTGAACTACTTTGCTGTGAGATAAAATTAGTAAATTTTAATTCTCACAAATTCAAAACTGTATTTTTTTCTGTTCTCCCGATACTATGTCTGTATCCAGTCAGAACTGTGAAAGAAGTTACGCACCTTGATTATTGTGCAGACAATCATTACCAAATAAATCTTATTCTGATTTCCATTTAATCATCTGCTAACCCTAAATAATATTTAGTGAAACCCTGGCATTCAATAATCTCTTGATGAGTAAACAGACTTGAACTACCAAGACATAATCCTTCACCTAAACTGGTTGGTCATATGAAAAGGGCAGAGGTCAGTAACTCTGCAGGAGCTACAGAGATCTGCAACTCAGGTGCAAGAATCTGTCTACAGGACAACAAATTTGAGTTCATCAAATAATGGCATGATGGTTTCATACAAGTAAGAGGGTGCTTTCTTTAGATGAAAAGAAAATTGAGTTTTTTGGCTTATGTGCAAAAACACTATAAGAGGAAGAAAAACCCCGTGTATCAACTTCTTCACTTTGAAACATAGTGGAAGAACTATCCTGGTGTATGGTAGGTTGTTTGATGTTTTCTTTTCTGACAGGGAAATAAAAGTAGGTTAGAGCTGATGGGAAGATTGATAAATTTGGATAAGGAAACACATTCAATCATTAGACGATCAAAGGTGTAATAAGTATGGTTCTAAGCACTCACAGCTATAACTGCAGAAGCAAAAAACGGTGACTGAGAAGGGCTGCATACACTCGCACGTTACAGTTTTTATATTTTTGTTTTTGTGAAAATGTGGCTTTCAAAGTTGTAGCAGTGAAAAGACAAACCAGGTGAGTAATCAGGGAAGGCAGAACAGTTGAGGGTCCTGAGCAGGTAAACTGTATAATGAACAAAGGCCAGAGATGTAAAGCGTAACACAACACGAGCAAAATGCATAGAGGAAAAAAAATACTCACAAGAAGTAAAGAGTAAATTAATCATAAGAGTAATAAACTGATTACTAACTTTAATAAAAAGACAAACCTGAATCGTGGTATCCATGTGAAATAAAGAAGCATATTTAAGTTTAAGTCTTTACTTTGAAAAAGAACACCAATGTGTAGACAAAATACATCCGAACCTTGTGGAGGAAAATGTTTTGGTCTTATAAAACACTTAAACTTCTTGGCTTTTACTCTGAAATATCTATTAAAAGCACATGAAACAAAACACTTTTACTGTTGCAAAACAAAAGGCAGCATCACGATCTGGGGTTAGATATGTTAGATATCTTCTTATGAAACTGCGGTTATTCAAAAAATTTATGAAAAAAATGCACAGTTCAAACAGTTGGCTTTTTCCTGGAGACTTTAGGTTTCTGAAGGAAACCTGAAGATCCTCATCAAGTTTTTAAAGGGCCAGCTGCAGGTATTGCAGAAATTAATTAGAACTTAACTCTCATTAATGTAACAATTTTAACCTTTTTTTTTCCACATTAAAAGAACACACTGATATGTTTTTCTTTTGGTTCTTGAGGGCCATATAAATTTTCCTGGTAGACCGGATTTGTCCCACTGACCTTGAGATTGACACAAATACTTTAGACTCACAGCGAGACCAAGAATACAACAAGGTCAAAGAAAAAAAAATTAATGAAACAGTCCCCTGGAGAGGGCTGCGGATGAGAGATATCTGAACCATTTGGCAGAACCTTTGCAAGAAAAGGCAGAATTTAGCAAGTGAAGTCGAGAAGATGCTGATGGAATCCAAAGCCCATGTCAATTTGTATCTAAAGGTGCTTCAACATGTGC